AAATTCTTCTTTACATAGCCAGTCATGCTTAGAATCACCTGAAAAAAAAATTAAATTTTTCAATTAAAACCATTGTATTCCGTAGAAAGGAACAAGAGACACTGGGACCTACCAGAGGGTAGAAGTTGGGAGAGGGAGAGGAACAGAAAAAATAACTATTGGGTACTAGGTCTAGTACCTGAGTGACAAAAAAATCTGGACATTAAACCATTATGACCTGAGTTTATTGATATAACTAACCTTCACAAGTACCCCTGAACATAAAATAAACGTTAAAGAAAAAAATCTAATTATATTCTGGAGGGAGGACAAAGATGACACTTCTGATTATATGCTGTATATACACTTTATCTTTCTCAAAGGAAGTAAACATGATGGCTATGACCTGTTATTAACATATAATTTTTATTTTGGTATTTCCAGTAACAGCCATTTACAATGAACTGTAAACTAAGGTTGAGTTTTATCAAGAATAAATGATCTTAGAAACAATACCTTGCACAAATGTTTGATCTGGATGCCTGCTATCAAATCAGTAGGTTCATCTTCAAAATACTTGCTTTGCATTGTCTCATAAAATTGATTTGCTTCAGTTTTTTTCTCAGGTGGTTCTGCAAACCAGTAAGAGTGCTGAGAAAGCAAGAAAAATACAATCACTGCTCTGGCACAGAAAGGAAGCACTAAACAATACTTTGGCCTTTATATTGGGATGGGCTGCACAAAATTTCTTGGGATTAAATTTTGGAGCTAATTGGCTAGTGTCTGAATACTGAGGGCATAAAAATGGACTATTCTTTCTTTCTTTTTTTATTTTTATTTTTTTTTTGAGACAGAGTCTCGCTTTGTTGCCCAGGCTGGAGTGCAATGGCATAATCTCGGCTCACTACAACCTTCACTTACCAGGTTCAAGCGATTCTCATGCCTCAGCCTCCTGAGTAGCTGAGACTACAGGTGTACACCACTACACCCAGCTAATTTTTCTATTTTCAGTAGAGATATAGTTTCATCATGTTGGCCAGGCTGGTCTCGAACTCCTGACTTCAGGTGATTGGCCCACCCTAGCCTCCCCAAATGCTGGGATTACAGGTGTGAGCCACTGTGCTCAGCTAAAAAGCACACTATTCTATTAAAACCATACAAGAGACAAAAGAAAATCACTGAAAAATGAGGCCATAGCAAACAGTATTATACTACTCTATTGGATCTTGTTTTCTGAGCAATACAGAAGTGAAAATAATATGAGAAAATACTGAGAAGAGAGGGTAGGATGCAAATGCTCCCCATTTCTCTGTGGTTCTGACTCTTGAAGATCTGGCCTAACCAAGGAAATAATGCAGGTCATGTGCACCCAGACGTAATTAACCTCTTCTAGCATATAAAGACCCATCATATATTAAGTTATTTTTATTTTATTTTTTGAGATGCTTTTGTTGCGCAGACTGTAGTGCAATGGTGCAATCTCAGCTCACTGCAAGCACTGCCTCCTGAGTTCAAGCTATTCTCCTGCCTCAGCCTCTCAAGTAGCTGGGATTACAGGCACTTGCCGCCATGCCAGGCTAATTTTTGTATTTTTAGTAGAGATGGGGTTTCGTCATGTTGGCCAGGCTGGTCTTGAACTCCTGACCTCAGGTGATCCATCTGACTTGGCCTTTCAAAGTGCTGGGATTACAGGTGGGAGCCACTGCATCCGGCCCCTTCACATATTAATTTCTTGATGCCAGAGTTCAATCCTTTATGAAACATTTTCCTATAGATTACCCATAATTTGTAAAGTTTGGGATCTCAAGCTATTTTATTTTATTATTTTTTGAGACAGAGTCTCGCTCTATTGCCCAGGCTGGAGTGCAATGGCACAATCTCGGTTCACTGCAACATCTGCATCCTGGGTTCAAGCAATTCTTCTGCCTCAGCCTCCTGAGTAGCTGGGATTATAGGCATGCCTTATTACACACAGCTAATTTTTTGTATTTTTAGTAGAGACAGGGTTTCACTGTGTTGGCCAGGCTGGTCTTGACTCCCAACCTCAGGTGATCCTCCTGCCTCAGCCTCCCAAAGTGCTGGGATTACTGGCATGAGCTATTGTGCCTGGCTGGTCACAAGCTATCGTCTACCACTATTTATGTCTATTGGAGGGTGTAGATGTATTAGGACAAGGCTAGTAAATTATTATTATTATCATTATTATTATTATTATTATTATTTTGAGATGGAGTTTCGCTCTTGTTACCCAGGCTGGAGTGCAATGGTGCGATCTCGGCTCACCGCAACCTCCGCCTCTTGGGTTCAGGCAATTCTCCTGCCTCAGCGTCCTAAGTAGCTGGGATTACAGGCATGCGCCACCATGCCCAGCTGATTTTTTGTATTTTTAGTAGAGACGGGGTTTCACCATGTTGACTAGGATGGTCTCCATCTCTTGACCTCGTGATCCACCCGCCTTGGCCTCCCAAAGTGCTGGGATTACAGGTGTGAGCCACCGTGCCCGGCCCAAGGCTAGTAAATTATTATGGCTGCAGTGTAGATAAAAACAGTTTTTCCACCTGACCTACTGAGTCTATTATAGACAGTGCTAAACTGACTGACTGCTTTTATAAATATCACAAATGAAGTTCATAAGGACTGTGGTCTCTATTAATAACAGAAGAATTATAACTCACCTGTAAGAAAAAGTTCCATGGCTTGGGAACACCATAGCTTCCTGGAAAGACAGCTTCTATATACCAGGCCACAAGGCTATATAAGAAAGCATCAAATAAGAACATTCCAAGCACATAGGCAAAAAAAAAGTTATCCAGTGTAGTTGATGAGAAGATGTTACTCCATTTAAGTCCAATTCCTAAGACATAACAGGACACATTTAATTTGGTGCCAACTGAGATTAAAAGAGATATTTATCTACATCACAATTAAATAATTAAGAAAATAATTGTATTGATACTTTCTGGAGATTCCTACTAGAGTCAGTTACTTTATTGTACCCTTAGAATTTAGGTTGTTTCCAAGAGGATCTGAGTAATGGGGACATCATACCCTAGACAAGCAAATAATTGGAAAAGACTAAAACAAAAATAAAATATGGCTGGTGTGGTAGCTTACGCCTGTAATTCCAGCACTTTAGGAGGCTGAGGCAGGCAGATCACCTGAGGTCAGGAGTTTGAGACCAGACTGGCCAACATGGTAAAACCCCGTTTCTACTAAAAATACAAAAATTAGCTGGGCATGGTGGTAGGCGCCTGTAATCCCAGCTACTCAGGAGACTAAGGCAGGAGAATCTCTTTAACCCAGGAGGCGGAAGTTGCAGTGAGCCAAGATTGCGCCACTGCACTCCAGTCTGGGCTACAAAATGAGACTCTGTCTTAAAAAAAAATTATATATATA